AAGAGAAAAATAGAGTCTCCAGATGAGAAATTTACGACGAAAGTGTATTTTAAGATTTTGAACTGCTGCTGAATAAAGTTCTTTCTTTGTTAGCCTAAACTTATAAAATCGTTTGTTTCTGGCGCATGTCAAACCCATTTGTAGTTTTTAAGGTCAAACAGGGATTGTCACTCACTGAATTGGCTCGCCATTAAGTCTTGTGATCGCCTTCGTATGAAATTTATTTTTTTGTTGTTGTTGTTGTTGCTAAGTCCGCGTTTTACTGGTCAGTGTTTTACTAGTCCGCGTTTTACCAGTCTGCGTTTTACCAGTCCGCGTTTTACCAGTCCACGTTTTACCAGTCCTCGTTTTACCAGTCCACGTTTTACCAGTCCGCGTTTCACTAGTCCGCGTTTTACTAGTCTTCATTTTACTAGTCCGCGTTTTACTAGTCCGCGCTTTACTAGTCCGCGTTTTACTAGTCCGCGTTTTACTAGTCCTCGTTTTACCAGTCCAGTCCAGTCCAGTCCAGTCCAGTCTGCGAAATACCGTATGCCAATATCTCGGTAGTGACTGACCTCTTTATCCGAAGTCATTGTTACTTTCACCACGAAGCTATATCCCATCCTTAAGTTCAAATTTTCAGTAAAATTTGTTATCAATGATTTCATTTTCAGCGATTAAGCGATCAATCCGAGGCCCAAATCTTGCACATAAGAGATTAGAACCGGTAGGCAGAGCCCCCTAAGCTGGCGTGTACCTGACTCAAATCTGTTGAAAGATTTAATGAAACCATTTTCATAATGATAAAATAAAAAAAAATTTGACAAGAACTTTATAGTTACCTGTAATAAAAAGAGACATTTTACTGAAAAAGTGAAAAAACGTGTTCTGTCCGAAAGCAATTTTACCTAACTCTGACTGTTCGATCAGGGCTAAACGAGAAGAATGTCGAAACGCGAGCTGACCGATGGCGAAAAGTACAATTATAGTAATAAAAACATTTAGTCCGTTTTGTGAAAGTATGACATTTAACCTTCAAATTTAGGATGGATGATCATAAATAAGTTTCAAAGCGTGCGTAAAGTTTTCAAGACATAATTTACATAAATTAGGCAGGCGGGAGAAGTTTTCCGTTTTGAACGTGGTTTAAACTCAAAAGTACTTTATTGGTGGTGTTTTTGTAGCCTCAGTTCTCCTTGGAAGATCCACGATCGATTGCTCATTTCTCCTTTACTGCAAAAGACACATAGCAAGTGAATTGGTCCGTGTTCCCCTTTAATCTACAGGAACAACTCTCAGTAATCAGGCGATGATGAAGCTTTGTCGCGTCGTTTTAGTCCTGAAATTACCAAGTTGGTAGGGTCTGCGAAAGAAGGGTTTACGAAAAAGCTTTACTCACCGCTTGTCTATGTTTGAACTAACCACGCTGCGAGTAATAGAACAATGCACAAGCGGCCACGTGTTCCAGTGAGGCTAGGTGTCCATTTCCCATCACTTCTTTTCTCTTACTTCCTAACGCTGTCTTATAGATTGTTTCAAAATCAAGAATCACAAACAAATTCTCTCGTAATTTTCTTCAAGATCACAGGTTTCGATGTGATTTGAAAATGTTACACAATCTCGGGTTTCTCAAGCCCATTTTAAGGCCACTGTAGCTGTTATCAACTTGTTCTAGACTTGGAATTTCTTAACGTGTACTTATTAAATAGCGAAGCTTCTGATGATACGTATAGTTACCTGAAAGAATCCAACAAATCCTAACCAACGAGATAGGCAACATTGGAAAACCTTAGCATCAGTCCACCCCAGCGTAAGTCACCCACACTCCAAATTTGGGAAGGCGCACTTTAAAGGCATTACATCATGGTCACTATGGTCACATGAGTGTAGTTGGTTTTGTTTCGTTTTTATACAGATCGTCCACGCCAAAACATGGCTATCACCGGTAGAGAAATGGTGTCATATCTTGACGGTTATATTCCTTTTGTGAAACAAGATGCTATTAACAAATGCTTATGTTCTTTATTGCTGAATGTCGTTCTTTTCATGATAATACTAGACTCAAGGGACGCGAACGGACAACAGCGTCCTTTCGTAGCTGAAATGAAGATTGGGGCAGGCAAGGATCGTAGTGCATTTACGCATTGTACATCTAGAAGGCATAAGACAAGATTTAGACGATATCAATTTTATAAAAAACCCAAAATGATCCCCAAAATTCTAGACTGCCACCAAGCATATGAGCAATTACTTATAATTGCACTAAGTACAAACAACGTTAATCGCTCGCTGATCGCAAAGAGAATTCTGACAAATATGCCAACTGTTCGCTTATACCCGCCGGGCGTGGCGTAGAATTTCCGCTGCGGTATTTAATTGTGATAAACAAGTCTATCACCCACATCATCATGCATATTCAGCGAGTGTTTATGTTGTTTAGCCATAGCGAGTCAGAGAAGACGCTTGGTTGGAAGTTCTTCATAATGACATAGAATTATTAGCCTATGTTAGCAATTTTTTTAAAGGACAGTCAAGAAAAAGCAGATCATTTGATTAACAACTTTTGATTTGCGCTTAGTGTAATAATAGTTTTAGCGTGTACTTCCTATAAATAACCCCTAGTGTAATTACCCCGTTTTTTGGCGCCAGAATGTTGTCCCAGGGAATCTGGGGACCAATTACCCCCCCCCCCTTTTATTTAATTTAATTTCTTTTACAGAGCACTTGACGAATTCAATCTTTGTATAACGGTCAACCGAAGACGTCAAAGGAACACATAGAGATGTATGGATTGCCCTACAAATTGTAGGTAACATTTTCGTTACAGCTTCAACTCTCAAATGTCATTTCATATTTGGAACAATCAATCTATTTGTTTTGCAGTTTGACTGTTTCCTTTATCAAATAGTCCAGAAATAAATGGGTCTCTATACATCAGCAACCTTTCCACTTCAGTAACGCTTCACATCGCGAGCGCGAATCAACTTCAACCACTGATTCCAATGGTACGACGCTCGATATTCTTGCTACCTCGTGAAAGTATCAAAAGAATGTGTTTCATGCACTCAATAAGGGACCGGTCATTTATTAAAGGAGGGGGGGGGAGGTGGGCTGGTGCAAATGGGGTAAGGGTCATACCTTTTTATGCACCTGAAAATGGGGGGGGCTTCATAAAATTGTGCAACCATTTCTGAGGGGCAATGTATTTTTGTGCATTCCAATTTCCTTTCCACAAAAAAGAAACAACACTGAAGGGATCAACAACAAGTCAAATATGATTTATTGGCAAAATGATGGCATAACAAACCAACGAAACATGGTGTACAGCAGTCCTTTCACACTTGGAAAAAAAACTTCCTGTATTACTCAGTATCACCGTCCTCTGATTCACTATTTGAAGAGCTGATAGAGGGCAAGTACTCTTTAATTGGTGTACAAGCTTGATTACTTATAAGCCCTCTTCCCATTATTTACATTAGCCAGTAAACTTGTGTCCCTTTTAAGGATATTAGAGCAGCCACATTGACTTCCTTAACTGGAATCTCACTATCAGACAGTAGTTTGGAGATTGAACCAAAATTCTCTTCTTCTCGTCCAGCTTTTCTCTTCTGTGCCTTTCTCTTATTTTCGTTATTTACTTTAAATAGTTCGGAAAGTTTTATTTAAGTTGTATTAACACTGTTTCTGTGGTTGAGGGTAGGTCATCTTATTTCATGTACAGACTCGAAGGGGGGCCACATTATGTTATGCAGTGGCAAGAATGGGCCCACGGGAAATTATGTCTACGAAAATTAAAATGCACCAGCCCACCCCGCCTCCCTCTAATAAATGACCAGTCCCTAAGGAGAACGAATCACAGAAAGTATCATTATCACTGTCACTCAGGCTGACTGTTCTAACTGAACTAAACTATAGATTTTGGAATGTTAGCCCACTAGCACGTTTGTCTAGTTGTTTAGACTGTTTTCACGATTTAATTTCTCATTTACCTCAAAAGTGATGGTAATGCTAAAAGAGTTTATCACATGACCCGTCCGGCCTCACTGGCGCAACAGTGAAAGCTGGCGTATCTGGGGCCGGACGGGTTGTCGTGAGCTGGTCCGGAAAAAGCCGTCTGGCTCTGGTACACTTGATCGCTGTTGTTGCAAAAAACAAGTGACCGCAGGGAAAAAAAACAGAGAAAGAAAGTAAGATTTTTCAATAAGTTGTGAGTTTCTTGTTCTGACTCGAACAAATGAAGGAAAAGTTTTTATTGTGGAATTTTTTTCGTGGTTTTCCCGCGCGCACCAGTCAAACTTTTTAAGAATTTTTCAAAACTTAGCCAGAGGTCAAGTGATAAAATGCTTATTGACTGAGTGGGAGGACAGGAAATATATGACTCTCGTTCATCATCATGACGTATGGACCGAGCGCTGAGAGGTCTCATGACCTCGAGGCAAGTGTTTTTCCGTCTGGCCTACCACTCAGTAAATAAGTATGTAATAATCTAAGCTGTTACCTTAATTTAAGAGGGCCTCTAACGCATATAATTTAGAAGATTCAAGTTTATTGATCATTAATCCCTAATATAAGTGGACTACAGCGTTCAAGGTGTGGCAGTATAGAAGCACTTAGAAGCACTGTACATTTAGTGCAACATCAGTAGGCACCAACTTTTTTAGGCGTCTCAGGCTCAAATTTTATTTGGGCATAAACTTTCTTGAGTTCTCTGATATGTGATTTTGGTAGGAAAGCTTGCTGTCGATATGAATACCAAGAAAGTTTGAGAGGTGATTTTACAACAGGAGAAAACTGAGAATTCGCGTGATACTAACGTAACATTGAAAACAAGAGAAAACTGAGAATGCGTGAGAAAACTGAGGAAGTGCGAGAAAACTGAGAATGTGCGAGAAAACTGAGAATGAATTTGAATATATGAAAATCATTTATGTGTACTGCCTTTGTAACAAATGTAGGAAAGCGATCCTTGCAGTAATGAACACTACTTATGTAGTAGTGAAAATAAGGCCTAAAAAAATTCAGGAGAAAATTTAGGAGAAAATTCAGGCCCGTATGTGATTTGAACCTATGACTTTTGCGAGATTGGTGCAGTGCTCCACCAACTGAGCTAACAAGCCAACTGAAAGCTGGTCATTATGTTGGTTAATATTTAACCTGTGAAGTGATGAATCAATGAATTTAAATATATGAAAATGAGATAGGTGTACTGCGGTTGTGATTATTACTGCGAGGACTGCTTTCATAACTGAAGCAATAAAAATATAAATAGAATTATAGTCTATCAAATAGTTTTGGTTGCACATGATTGGTCTAAATGCATCACCTGATCAAATATTGTGTCCAATATGAAAAGAATCTTCATTTAAAAATTCAATTCAAGATGAGAGTGTAATTTGCCATCAGTCATTGCAGAAGAAAAGAGTTATTTGTTTTGGAGCTCATGGCTTCCTTGATCTTCACTCTTGGAAAACTATTTGCTTCATGGGCAGGAACAGATATTGTCAGCAGAAAAATATCCATGTATATTGTGGCACCAAATGAAGGCAATTGTTTGTACATGTTTTGAAGGCTAATGCAACAAAATTTTGACGGATAATGAAAGTCATGACAACAAGAGAATGAATATAACTCTGAAAATTGACTTATATATTAATGGGGAGTCAACTTATGAAATCAAAGTGACAAGTAATATTGCTAATCTCATTGGATGAGAACCAAGTCCATTACAGGTTACACCCTCCCCTCCCCCCAGCATTTTTTCAGCCTTCCCTAACAGTTCCCCTCTTTCCATTTATACTCCTGGGTGAAGATCAGAGGCACTGTGAGAGTAAAGTATCTGGCTAGAGAATACGTCACAACAACCTAACAAGGTCTTGAACACAAACCTCGAGAACTAAAGTTCAGTGTTCTAACATTAAGCCATAATATGTTTTCAAAAAGGGCAACTGCATTGTCCCTGTTCTCTGATAATTTTCTTGAGTATGAAGTAAATCAGCATTGCATCAAAGTCTTTAGCAGGTCATAAAAACAATCATGGCGGCAATAACTTCTAAAAGCACTTTACTGAACTAAACTACAGTGCATGACCTTTTGATCTGGCTGCCCAATCCAACATGTTTAGGTACCAGTATTAGCATAGGAATACCTTTCTAACTTAAACAAAATTATTTGGTCTAGTATTTTGCCATAAATAAGCAAATTTACACTAACATTACCTCCATCCTTTGCCAACTTTTAATTCAACTCCTCCTCTAGTACCTGTTGCCTGAGAGTCACCTTGAAGTTCAGTTCCTTTAGGAAAAAAAGGCTGAAATTTTTCTCTGTTTTTAGCAATCCATTACATGAATAAACAACTGAAAATGCACGAGACTAAAGTAACAGTCCATAACACGAGAAACTAACAAGGCGTGAGATACTATCCAACTGCAAGAAGTAGAGTACAATAACAACGCAAGAGAAGAGTTCAAATATCCTGCGATATTGTACGGTTGGTTATTTTTTACTGTAAAAAAAACCTGTTTAACCGGTCGGCTGCATGCTTCTCTATCCGCTTTGTTTTCCTGCCATATGAGAAATGAGCAGAAACACTTGGTAGATAAATAAAGAAGTTGAATAAGACGCACTTTATTATAGTTTATACGTTTTGTTGTGTAGTATTGCTGAGTATTTTTAGTCTTTGTTTGTATTTTGACTCTCTTTATGGGCTTTTCATAGTACAACACAACTGGCAAAAATACTCAGTGATGATACACACCTAAAAGTATGATAAGATATATCCTTATGATCCATCAAATATTTTGCTTGCGCGTCATCGGTTATGATGTATCACGTGACCGAATATTCCCCAGCTAAAACTGGGGAATATCCGGGGATATCACCCAAGTGATATTCCCCAGTTTTCAAACCATACGTCCACTACGATTAATGTTCGTTTAAAATTTAATTCAAAACTTTGTGTTTGTTACAGAAGAAGGGAAATATTTGTTCCTTCATAAAGTCATTCTAGAGAACATTCAAAAGAAAACATCCCATACAGCAAAGAAAAGAAAAGATTCGTTCAATTAGCCAAACCATGGTTTATTAACAGAATGGAAAATCACAGCAAATAGCAAGTAACAAGTACATTCTCTAAAGTCAAAGCAGCAAATTATACTTCTAAAAAGCACTACAGAAACTAATTTACAGTTCATGACATTACAAAAAGACTAGTTCATAGCTAAGCCATAGTTAATCGACAGTACAGAAAATCACAGCCTATAACTGGTCATAAGTACATTTTCAAAAGCCATGGCAGCAAAATCTACTAAAAAAGCCCTTTGGCAACTAGTTCACAATTCATGACATTGAGGAAACTAAGCTATAGTTTACTGACAGTAAAGAAAATCACACCCTTTAGCTGGTATCAAATACATTCCTTAAACCATGGCAGCAAAAACTACTAAAAAGCACTTATTATAGGCAACTGACTTACAGTTCATGACATTGACAAAGTTAAGCTATAATTTAATTTGACAGTAAAGAAAATCACACCCTATAGCTAGTCTTCAGTACATTCTATAAAATCATAGCAGGAAATACTACTACAAAGCACTTTGGCACCTAACTTCCAGTTCATGAAACTGAAAAAAAAAACATTTAATTTTTGGCTAAGCCATAGTTTATAGACAGTACAGAAAAATCACAGCCTCTAGCTGGTCATATGTACGTTTTCTAAAATCATGGCTGCAAATACCACTAAAAGCACCTAGCAAATCTCTTACAGCTCGCAAGACTGAGAAAAGAATTAATACTGCAAAGCTAAGTCATGGTTTATTGACTGTACATTCAAGTCACAGCCTTTTGCTGGTCATAAATACAATCGCCAAAGTCATGGCAGCAAATATTACTACAAAGCACGTAAGAAAATAACTTATAGCACCTGAGACCTAAAAAAGACAACTTCAAAGCTGAGCTGTGTAAAAGTGCCATATATTTTATGGAATAAGTACAAATAAAAGCCTTTGGCTCATCCTAAGATTTTATTTTTTAAAATCATGGCTGCAAATACTAATAAAGCATTTTTAACAACTAAATAATAAGACTTAGTAAATATTTCTTGCACCAAAGCTACCACTGCTCTTGACGTTAACCTGAAGAAAATATGAAGGAAACATTAAATGAGCTTGGATAAATCCCAACCCTGAATTAAAATGTGGTGTTACAAAAAAGATGCCCATGCACTAAGAATGGAAGTGCTGCAGTTCCTCAATAAAGCACCCACACTGAAACAAGTGCCCTCCTTCGAACAGGTGCCCAACCCCCTTGGCCATAATATCAAACCAACACCACTCAATTCAAGGAAAGCAGTCTATGTTTTATTTCAGCAAGACATATTTCTATATTTACACATGCATTTTGGTACATAATCCTAGTCTGTCACAAATGTAGTTTCTCTCTTTGTTCATGTGATTTAAATGCCCAGTCTAACATGTTTTGGCTCTGGTCTTAGCCTAGGAATGCCACTATGAGTTTAACCAAATTATTTTGCCAAAGCCATGGTATGGGAAGAATAAAAATATGCACACACTTTCACAAATAAACTTCTTTAGTTGATAAAACAGTACTTATAACACAGTTACAAGCAACAGCCATCATCAAAATCTTCTCTGAATCAATTTCCCCATGAGACTGCAGGGAACAAAACCCCACACCATGACTGAGGGAGAGGTTGCACAACGTTTGCCAATCACAAATTGGATGTACGTACTGGTAAACACAAATTATGCACAAAAATCAGCATGATTTAAAACAATGGAAGATCTACCATGGTCTCCATGCACACTTGCATGCCTTGGAGCACTGAAGGGCGAAGCTAACACAAGTTTGCACAATAATTGCCTTCATGTGTACAACCACAAAATGCTGATTCCAACAATGCTGCAAATTTTTCTCCTGGTGTCATCAGCTTGGGCTTTAAAACACTTTCTTCATTGTAGAACCATCCACTGCCATTTGGACTTGAAAGCGCAGGACAAAGTTGCCATCATCTGCACCAGAACCTATCGGTTGACTTGCTGTGGCAGAGTTGCAAAGCATCTTGTGTAGGGGGAAGGGAATGAAGCTCCTTCCTTGTCCTTCTAAAGCCGATCATCTCCTTATTGATATTAATTTCTTCTGTGCCCTTATTGTGAAGCTGGTGCACAAATGCCTCAGCATCTGCAAGGATATTAGCATTAGGGCAGCTTTCTTCACCAAGGTGCTCAAGCAGCTGCAATAAATGACCACCTAAGGCTTTTTACACTTTTTGCTTCCCTAGATCAAAAAACTCACCTGTAGTATCATACTAAGTTGAAACCCTAGCAGTGACTTCCTCTTCTCCTCCTGCCAAGCAATCATGTTAATGAGTATGTACGAATTTCTTTTAGAAGTTCCACCAAACATTCATATATCACTGTGTGCCAACAGGAGGACAATGACATCTATGTCACCACATTGTCCTCTAGGACAATGAACCTACTCCAGTTTCCAATTCTCTGTTCCCTGCTAATCACATTCCTCCTGATGCCCCTGCTCTTCCCTTCTTTGCACTTGCTTCTTATTCCCCCTTTAACAGAGTTCGGGAGATAAGTGATCAAATACTGCATCGACTCTTGTCTTCACTGAACTTGTCACAACATTCCCCAACCATCTTCACAGCAGAAGCACTTGCCAGAGATTGAATAGCCACAATTCCATTGATAACAGTACATGTCTCATTCAGGCTGATAGAGAACTGGCTCCCACAAACGTTTTCTTTCATCATCTTGCTCAAATCAGACTTCCCTAATGCTTTCCTCAGACTTCCATTGGGCATGGCAACAGAAAAAGGGACAGCATAGAGTTCTCTTGCAAAAGTTAGCTATGTGGATGTCACAACCAGATTCTTAAGCAACCCCAACATGCCTTAAGAGATTTCTGTCTGACTCTATGGCAACTGTCTTCTTCTTATTGAGTGAACTTGGTACAGAATACAATGTTTCAAAGGTTTGAGCTTCTGTTGTTTGACCCTGTCATGAAACTTAACATTGATCTTGATTAGCCCGTCTTACAGAAACTTTTTACAACAGTCTTAATTGCCAATTTCTTCTTTGCCCAGCAGGTCACATTTCATTTTTTCACTTGCAACATCCATGGTTGTGACTGCAGCAAAGTTTTCTGTTCGACAAAACACCCTTATACCTTGTGAAGCAGCGCACAAGCTCAAGCACATCCTCTTCATCTTGACCCATTATTCCTTTCCCAAGATTGCTATGATCACTATTAGCCTCATTTCCACCTCAAATGTTAAACATTGTTTTTTTGTCTTCCTACAATGCAGCCCTCTTGTTGTACGTTATACATGAAGATCTTATCTTCAGGATTACCATGGAAATAAAATATCTTAAAAATTTTTTTACGATGATTATTTTTTTCTGGAACTTTTACCTGATAACCTTTTACCTGATAACCTTTTAAATTATGTTCCTCGTATTCTATTTGTGCAAAGTCTAGAAATCCTTTTATCATTAGGCATATCATCATTTATTTTTCTAAGGAAATTGTCAGATATTAATCAAAGTTTAGATCACTTTTTATTCAAACAAAATTTTTTTATTCCCTCCTATTTTAGTTTTGTAAGGTACAAATAAATCCTGGCTTTTTGAAGGTCACATGACTTATATTCACCAGTTATGCAACTATGCAACATCTTATCAATGGTTATGCAGACAATTCTTGTTGTCAAACCACAAGTATGCTCTTCACTTCGTGCATTTTCTTGGTATTTTTCCTTGTTTTTGTGATTTTTTCTGAGTCCAGCCTCATTTGCATGTTGCAAGATCAAGAACCTGGAATGAAACCCTCCTTAAAGGTCAAAGACCTCAGATTTCCCTACTCTTAGACTCAAATCATTCCCTACTTTTCCACAAAGTTTGGTGTAAGAGTAAAAAAAAAAATCAGTGAAAAAAATTGATGTTAGCGTGCTGTGGGGAACTCTTGGAGTGATGCGGATGCACCACGGGAGTTCCTTGAGTGAGGGGGTTCAAAAAACGGAACTATGGACTAAGCCCATGAGTTTGAATAGTGCATTGTGCTCACAATGAAAAAACATGATTGGCCATAGCTGTAAAACTATCAACAAGCAGTGATATGTGTCAATGCTTGTTAACACTAACTGCAATTTTTTTTTAACTCTTTTATTTTTTACTGGTGTGAGAGACTTTGCCAAATAGGAGGGACTGCTCATAGTCTATCCCAACACTTAACTCTTAACATCCCAACATCATTATATGTATACTCTCCACACTGTTCCTTATATACATCCTAAGGTGCTAATTAACAAAGAGAAATTATTTATCAATCAAGATCTTCTATAGTTGGTAATCATTTCCTTTATTCTTGTGGCCTATGTGTGTGATTCAGGGGTGCTATTGTAAAGACAAAGTAGATGCTAGTCAGTCACAGGAGTTAAAAACCACCACTGAGGATCTTGCTTGAACACTGGTGCTAAATTTGAAAACTCGAGCTTGTAAAAATTTTGACTTTTTGAGATAATTTTCTGAGGAATTGACCACTAAATTAGTCCAAAATAGCACCAATAATTCTTATTACTCTTATTTTCTTCATTTAATAGGTTACTTAGATGTAGTTTGTCTTGAAATGTAACAATTTTCTGTGAGACATCAATGAGTTCATGAACATGTTCTTGTTGAGATTTCTATTCACTTAACTTGAGCTCTTAATATTTGCTGAATACATGCATGACAGAAATGCATGCAATGGAAAATTTATTATCTTAGGAACAAAGTTTCTTTCTATTGTTTCTTGAATAAATGAGTAGTTACTGGTATATTGTTTAAAATTTAAAGTGGTGTTACTTTGTGTTGATTTTGGTTCCCTTGCCTTAATTGGCCAGAAGGGATAGTATTATACACTGTCACCCTTGGATGGGAAAGGCTTAACCCTTTAACTACCGTGAGTGACCAAGACAGAATTTCTCCTAAAAATTTCAATATAATATCAAGCAGAGAAGTGCTGAGAATAAAGGAAAATGTCGACTGGGGTATGATCAGTTGACCCAATACCAAATTCTCCAAGCTAACATTGTAAGACAATATTCTATGGCAGACAGTAGGAAGAATTATTGCAAGCAATAACCACCTCCAAATTTTCTTTGCACTGATTTGCCCACTAAAAATGGAAGCAACATCAGACCACATAACCAAGAAATGTTGCATACAGATCACTCCCAGGTTGATTTACCAGCAAAGAGTGAGACACAGCAGGCATCAATAACCAGTGGGCAGGAAGGGCTTGGGGGTATGCTCCCCTGGAAAGTTGCATAAAAATGAAGAAGCTATTAAAGATATGCATTCCTTTATTCCAAGAAAAGAATGTCCATTGTTGAGAAGTCTTTTAAGTGAGTAAAAAGGCAACAAGGAGTAAATAATCTTTGGAAGGAGAGTAAATTTTGTAGGCACTTGACCCAGGTAGCAGTTTGTAATCTCAAAACTATTAACTGCATTAAATCACTGTGAAAAATAACAGATTCAGCATGAAAGTGTAAGATTGAATTGGTTTGTATAAATCTCACAATCAATGCATGAGACTTCAGAGCATGACATTTGCAAATCACAAATAGCATGTAAGTGCTGGCAAATACAAGGCCCAAGAACTTGCATGAGATCCAACAAAGGAAGATCTACCATGGGAAATTTCCTTACTGTGGTGTATGTAACTGTACTTGTGCAGAGGAAAATCTGCTATTGAAAAATGACAGGGTTTTAAGTAGGCCACATATTTTGGCAATAGTTACATAAAACCTTCCTAACAGCAGGCAGTGAATATAGAAAGATATTGCCTAGTTCAGTTACATACCATGCTCTTTTATCAAGACATTTTCTTCTTCTTAGTTTGAGGTTCCAATTGAGGTTGAGATTCTGCCTTTGGTTCAGGTGGAAGTCTCTGTTCCTTTAAGTCTAATACTCCTGAGGCAAACTCCAATGCTTTTTTGGCTTGGGCCAGGAACTCGTGCATCAGGGCTAGCTGATTGTTAGGGTGAAGTTCTCCCCTAACAATTCTTTCCTGATCCAAAATAAAAAATTAAAATTGTTGGGAATCAGTGTTTCAGTGCAATGAAAACCAAATGGATTGGTCTGGGTACCAAACTTTGCTCGCTCTCCTGTGTTATTTTCTTACACTGTAGTGCATTGTCTCACGCTAAATTTTAGAAGTGTTACTGTTGAACTTGGTAAGATACGTATTATACAAGGGCTTGGAACGGTACTGTGCCCTAGGTGGTCAATTTGCTGGCCTGTGTTGAAGCATTAACTGAGTCACTATATACAGTATACCGTGACCTGGGGCAAGAAGATTTGCAAATTGATTCCTTCATTTCAAAGAAAAATTTAAAATATTACTTTTAGCAGTGGAGGACCAAAATAAATATCTACCTCTATCAGTTGAAATAAATGACTAAAGGAGACAATATAAATGGATGAATGGGGGAAAACGGTTAAAAAAAAAACCTTACAGGTTAAAATCAATCTAAATTAAAGTACAAACAAAAATGGGATTAAAAGTAAAACAGTCACAAATTACTACTTTAAATCAAGCAGTAACTGTAATAAAACAGTCTCGATACATTCTCACCTTATTCCAGGACCTTATGATACATAAGTTTGCCTTGCCTTGGAAATTGAGGATTTCAAGCCCGAACGCTAAGTTCAAATCACGTTGCCTCTGCCTTGACTCAAGAGTATCATGCTTTAGATATGCGATTGCTTCATTATTGCGAGACATGCAGTTATTACTCAGTTACGATTTCGTGGAATTCGTAGGGTTTGAATTTGTTAAAATCAACCTCTTACGGAATGGCGAGCGCGAAGCGAAAAGATGGAGCAAGCAAATTTCACGCATATCCACATGCCGAGGGGGCCCTAGAGTCAGTAACTATTATCTCATGAATTTAAAAAACAACTTAAAAATCATCTAAGCAACTAAATTTAAAAACAAAGTTCAATTACTTCAAAATACAGTACCTCAGTGTCCTTCAGTTCACGCAGTATGCCAGGTTGGAGTTTGTCACTTTCATCCATGACTGTAAATCCAAAGCAAACAAATGCATCTTAAATATTTCTTTACGTACTATCGAACAAACATGGAGCAATGGAAATTCCAAGCGGTCGATATCTTCTGTTTCTCTCATATAAAAACATCCTAAGTTTAAAGCTCAGAGTTGTCAAGTGTTCACAAATGATTTCGCCTGTCCTTAGAAGCGTGCAACTTCTTTTAATCAAGTGCGATCGGCGCGCGATAAGTCTGCGAGCTGTGTCACGCGAATATTTGTACTGTTTTGTCTTGTTTTGACTTTTTTAAAACAGGCTTCTTGTACCTAATTTATCACACTGAACGGCTAACAAGTAAAAGAAACTGAACAAGCGTACAGTTATCATTTTGGCCCGACTTTATTTTTGTTCTTTCAGTCTCCCGCTCGAATTGTGCTCATTTTGGCTTTTCGGAACGCCACGCCGAGCTGCGAAGATTTGTACATTTCAACTTAAAATGTTTTCACAATGTACACAAACATAATAAGTGCTTTTGAAACGTGGGGATACTTTTGCACGTGGAAAGGTATCTTAAGGATGTAGAAATGCTCATCGGATGGATGTAGTTTTAGTAAGTTTACGTGCTTTGCATATCCACGTGCAGCTACTTTGTGGGTCAAAACGCTTTCTCGGATAATTTTCCGTGCCGCAAACGTCCACGGAGGATTAATTCGCTTCTCCACTAGCAATTCGTAATAAAGCGAATAATCACCGATGAAACCCTCACAAGCGTACAACAAAAACACGCCTACTTACCTCTTCAGTGAGGGAAATTTAGCGAACGAAACGAATCAAACAAAAGCGGGAGTAAACACCTCACGTAATAAGTCATGTGAGCGTTCGGACTTTTCGAGCAGGGTCTGGGGAGAAGTAACTTTTCTGATTGTGATTGCTTGACGATAATTTTTAGCCCTACTTTCTCTTCGTCATAATCATCCTCACAAAGCTATCTCCGTGAGCCAAGATCAACTTTGCAGCAATAGTTGGTAACTCATCGACCAATCTACGGTCCAAATTCGGAGCAATGTAACACTGACAGGAGAAGCCGCCATAACTTCAAGTAGCATGAGTGAAGTATCTCTCCCAAACCCTGTTGATAAACCAAAGTGGAAGGTCATCATTGACGCTTATTATAACGAGTCAAGTGAACAGTGATCGCAACAAACAGTGCACTCTGAATTACGAGTAAAATATTTTTAGACCTGACATGACTTCACGGCCTAATGAGCAAAAAGTATGCTGAAGTAGACATAGAGAAAGAAACTAAATATCTGCATTATAATTAGTTATATCTGAAAAGCAAGCGTAAAAAGATGCCTCTTGTTGTTAACGTGAATAAATTTTTATAAATGTTATAGTGCAGGTGGTCCTGCGTTCTGCTCCTTAGTTGATCCGCGGTTGGTACTTTTTTCTTCTTCATCAGAGGGTAAGAGGATTACGCTCGACCCGTTCCGCTTCCACGATACTAACCGTCTGCATAAATTATCCTTTCTCCCCTCATGATCACAAAGTCTTAAGTATTTACACATTTATACAATAAATACATACCGATCTTCGTTTCTCTCAAATTTTCAAAGCCGCAGATTATTTAAACTTAACACATCTAAAGTTCTCGCATTTAGAACAATAGATGCCGCGGCCACGTGCTTCAAAATTCCAAAGTTTACGTTTACGATTACGTTTCCTTATCCCTTACCCCTCTTTTCCCACGTTCTAAGGCTTTTTAATGACTTATTTCACTAACAAGAATTTACTTTCCCTGATGAATTTTGGTTATCTGCCTCGTGCACACAGTTTTTGATGTACATACGTGATCTGAGTGAGGTAATTTCAAGTTCTCGCCAGGGCGGCAAACACTTAAAAAGAGAAAGACCGTTGCAACTAAATGCCATTGGACTGAAGACTTAGAGTTTTCCGAGTACTTATTGGGAAGTGAAGCTTCTACTGATGCCTAGACTTACCTGAAAACATTCTACAAATCCGAACAGATAAGTAACCTCTTCCCGATCTTTGAATAATACGTTACGTTATCATGACCTCATCTCATGCGCTAGCGGGCTTTCTGAAGTATTTGAGACCCCTGAGAGACCAGTGTGGGATTAGCTACGGTCACATGATAGTAGCGATGTCACTCAGTTCTGCTAAAAAAGCACGGCTGTGATACCACAATATTATCAAGTCTATCGCTCAAGTCCCATTATTATTCTCAGGGAAAAAAGACCCTATTATGATAAATAAGTCGACCATTCGTCTTGAATGCCACTCTTGAGAAATTCAGGTGTAGATACGAGAACCCTCAAAGACAGCGTCTGTAAAAAACAACTGAAATTAGAGATTGAAACCAGGCTATAATCGTGGTCAATTAACGCACTGTACAAGATGAAGGCATGACACAAGATATAAGCAATATCAATCAACCAAACTGGGTAAGATTTCTATAATGTTACTCGATATTCAAGTAAAATCATAGCCTACGTGGGTGGCTGTTTTGTGTGCACTGAGGCGAAGAACAGCGAAGTCGCGAGACGCTGGAATATAGCTTTCTCGCGGGGCTTCACTGCTCATTAGCCAGCGCACACAAAATCGTAAAGCGCACATAAGACCACCAGCTACCCAACTTATATCGTAACTTAGACAATCGCGTTTTCCGTCACCTGAGGTGGTAAAGATCATTAAAAGTACCACAAAGCGTATGAGAAATAATGTGATGTATGCATTCTATATTAATGAATATTCATTGCTATGGTTACTTTACTCAACACTACAACAACAACATCAACAACAACAATTTATTTCGCATTAGGGTGGGGGGTTACAATGATTAAAAATTACTCAAGAAAAATAAAGAAAAAGAAGAACCTTACATAATTGACACTCCCGCAAGTAGCACAGGCTAGTCGCGGCGGGCAGTGACAACAATTTGTTAAGAGTCTAAAGCAAATTATAAATGAAAAGATCATTATAAGAATAAAAAGAAAAGAAAAAGAACAGCAGATAAATAAATGCACAAATATATAAAATAATTAAATTAATTAAATAAATTCATAAAAATAAGACAATATAAACATACAAAATTACCTATTTCAGGCACAAGGAGCAATTGAGACTTGAGAAGATATCATAGGCCGCGAATTTTTTGGAGAAGAGATATTAAATCGATTATAGTTATCCTCAACGGCCAGGATATTCAGAATTGTACTATGGATTTTTTCCTTAAACTGTTTACGAGTCAGATCACGTGTAGTGATACTCAGAGAATTCCACAGGACAGTTCAAAATCTAGCTACAGAATTCCGCATAAGGTTTAATCTAGAAGGTTTAACATAAAAAATTTCCAGCAGAAGCTGATCTGGTGTTATATGAGTGTATTTTTCTGGAGCGAGTAAAGCGGGAGTCAGAGGTTTTCCGGTACATCGTCATTCGAGACATCATGCACTTGTGAGTCACGAAGTCAGGTTGCGGATCTTTGTCATAAAACTATTTGCAATTTTTGCAAAGAAATGCCAAGGTAAAACAGAACGTTTGAGTGCCAGCTTCAAGCACTGATTCCAATGGTGCAACGCGCGATATTCTACCAGGTAAGTGAAAGTGCTAAAAGCATGAGCCCGCAGAGACTTGTTATCAGTGTCATTGAAAGAATCACTATACTTATTGTTTGAGATCGCAAGATTTTGGACATAAAGTTTAATGTTGCCGCTTAGGTCTGCCTAACAAGCAGGTTTTGTTTTACCAGAATTGAGACTTGTGGGGCGTATATTTTGAAGAAACTTCGGATGACTAATGCAGCAGAGAAATACTCGATTGCATTTTTCAAGAGAAAAACAAGCCGTTGTTCAATACTGCTAAACCATAGGGGAAAAAAATTACCAATTTTAATTCAATGTAGATCTAATTGACGAACCACACACACTCAGCCCTTATTACAAAGAGTTCTTTATACCGACATTTTGTAATAATTCATCAAGGAGTTTTTAGATAATCAACCGGCAAATATGGCTTACAATTAAACGTAATCATCGAAGTGGCGAGGGATGGAAGCCAAGGAGCCTCGCCCCGGGGGGGAATTTTTTTGATTCAGTAGACACTAGACTGGAAATAAGCCTCCTCAACTGAATTGGAGGCCGAAAAGTTCCTGTAGAAAAATCCTTAATTTCGTTTTCACTGAAAACTTTATTGTAATCTTATGAGGATTTTAAAATCATTTCAATCCTGTCTTTTTTACCATTGTGGTGTTTTTCTTTAACAGTTTTGATATACTATTCGGTTTCCTTTTTTTCAAGTCTTTGCATGGAACACCAGTCGCATGGAAGTTATCATACAGTATTTTTAGTCATTCACCTATGAGTAGTTGAGCTTAACCGATGAAATCAAGTTCTTTCGACTTTCTCTTTTACCCACAATTAAATACTTGGTTTTCTTTCCCTTTTTATGCGTTGGTCCAGAAAAACCTACCCAAAAGAAAAACTAACACAGATTTCAGAATAGAAAACTCAGAATACGCGAGATATTAACGAAACAATCCGTTACAAGAAAAAACTGAAAATACGCGATATATTAATAAATGAAGGATCTATTAATCAATAATTATGTGCTTCAAACATGTCATAAAAGTATCTATTTCTCTGTCAATTTCCTGTTTTCGTTAACAGTTTTTCAACGAATGCCATTTATCGATAAAAATCAATTTACATTTTTAAAATTAAAAATATTTTCATTACATATTCAAAAATTCTGAAGGAAATGCCTTTTCACGTCCCTCTTTCCAAGGGTATATACCTGACCAACCACATTGCATGATCCATTGAAGACAGTTTCGTTCCCGAGGGCCTCTCGGTTTTCAAAATGCAGGTGGGATTTGTAACAACCGAGCAGTCCCTGGATCAAGGTCTTGGTTGTACGTAAAGGATAAGATGCCTGAAAAGTTAACGTTTTCCTTATTTTACCCGGGCATGCCCTCTATTTCTGGCCCTTTAAGGATCTGTCTTCCCTTTGTCCAACAACAGCTCACTTATTTGAGGGCTTGAGTCTTCAGAAGCAGAAGCTTACGGATACTTGGAGTATTCGGATTAGGAAGTCTTGTGAACTTTACTTCGTACGTGGTAAGACTTACACACTACCTTGAAGAAAAATTGAAGCTTAGCAGCGAGTTTATAGAAACATAGGAGTTCATTGAGCTGCAGAGGAGTTTTTATGCATTTACGGATGCATACAAGATGTGATTTATTTCTTACTTTGGATTGTGATTAAGGAATAATAGACTCACAAACTCCACGTCTTTGAGCAACTTAAAGTAGAAGAACTTTTACGTACAATTCGTGTTTAGACTTTCTGGACAACTACAAAACTGGTGTCATTCATCTAAGGCTGCATGAATGGCCAACTGACTGACTAAAGTGGTTCCTTATAGAGGTGTTTATTTACTTATTCTAAGTGATCTCTGCATGTATAACTTCCAACTGTCTACTACTTACAATTATAGGTAAACTCATCGAGGCAAATGTGATTTTTTTTTTATTGTTGTAAAGTTAAGCATTAAGCGTGACAAAGCGTGACAAACAATTTTAAAGTAAGCTTTGATTACATAATTACAAACGGAAATATCATTTATGTGTAACCCTTTGTCGTTAAAATATTCCTACTACGTGTCGCATAGAATATGGAAACTTGTACGTGTTTTCCGTCTAAAAGCACGTAGGAACACTAGTTCCACAGGATCTACGAAAGTGTCCTCCCATCTGTGAAATTGCGGATACGTGGTAATTAAGTTGTTTATTCCAAGTGAAACTCGTATTATCTTCTGTATTTTGTATCATGTATGATTTAGCTACCCTTATGCATATAAGAACCTTGATTCAAGCAATAAAATAGATTCAGTTGATTGTAAAGCAGTTGAGTGTCCAGCACCCCGTGTGCGCGAGCTCGGGTTAAACCCACCGTTTGCCTAAGCATCGAAACAGCTCGACGCTAACCGACCCTCGGCCGAAATTATACTACATTATCATGATCTTAACTCTTTCCTCACCTCCTTGGGAAAATCTTTTCAGCAGCAAGCAATAATTTTTTTAAAAAAATAGGGTTAAAACAAAGAGCCATGAAAAAAGAATTTTTCTGACATTAACATATGAACATGATATGATTATTTTAAAAGGGACGTTATCATTTTTCTCACAACATGGTCACTTGGGATGTGGATCGTAAAATTTCAACTGCATACTGCTAGTCTTCTTCAAGTGATGAGATCAACTGAGTACGCATCACCTATATGCTGTTGTGCTCAGCTGTGATTGGATGGAACTCCAGGGCTGTGATAAATGCATCTTTCGGTTCAGGTTCCCTCTGTGGTCTGCTGCCATGTGGCTCTCCTGCTGTTGTTATTTTTTTTATTATTGGCATTCAGGCTACTGGGATTTCAATTCCACTGTCCCAGTTAATTTTTTCAGGGTGAAGTCTTATGTAAATTGCCTCTTTCACAGCTGTGAATTCCATCCAATCACAGCTGAGCACAACAGCATGTAGGTACATGACATATTCTTTGTCAACCTTATCACTTGAAGAAGACTAGTATGCAGTTGAAATGTCACAATCCACATCCTAAGTGACCAATTACATTTCTCTTAAGTGTCATTTACAACTATGACTAACCACAACCTATTTTACAATGATATGATTACTGAGTAGATATCAGCTTGTGGATAACTGAACTCTTTTTCCTGAAGTTATTCAGATTTCCAAAACATTTGAGTTTGCTAAGTAGTTCAATCCAGATTTTTGCTCCTGAGGTACAAATGATCATCATTGTTGATCACTGAGTTCCTATCTGTGAGGGGCAGTAATATTTTTTGGAACCACTGAATGACTCACCGACCAATTAATTGACCAACAGAATGACTGATTCACCAACCATCTGTAAGCTCATAATTTTAGTCTCTCAATAATCATTAACTTCATAGGTTTACATCAGACAATTTGAATGGAATTCTCAAAATTGTTCAAACTTAGTGGAAGTGTTTTTGTTTATTATGTTTATTCTTATTCAGGAGTGAAAAGGGATTCAATAGTGATAAAAAGGAAACAAAGTAGATTAATGTCTTTGACCCTCTACAAGAAGACGGCACTGAATTATTCAGATAGGTAGGCAATGTTATTTTAATGACTTGTTTTAGTGATATATCAAGAAAAAAGCAAATAGGCTGGCAAATCAATACAGACTTTGCTTAAATGTGTGCAGATTTGTAGACATTTACTTTTTACAGTCTAACCTGTATTAAGCGGCAGTGTTTTTAGTAGTCACCCTGTATTTAGCAGTCAGATGTTAAAGTCCTGAATTTATTTCCCCTTAATCACTGTAATTTTCACCTCTATTAAGCAGTCACCATTATCAAGCAGTCCCCTCTAAGTAGAGGGTACAGTCACCCTTTACTCAGTCCTAACAGCCTGTTTTTATTGTTCTCCAACTGTATTGAATGGTCCCTGAATGAGGGACCACTCAAACAAAACCTAGAGCAAGATTCAGTACATTAAGTAGTCAATTATGGCATAAAGCGGCACTGTTTATTGTTTTTTATAATACCTCCAATCTAGACCTAATTTGTGGAACGTGTATTAAGCCATGCCATTCCCTGTGGGTGACCACTTAATATAGGTTTGACCATATAATCAAATTACTCTAACTTACAAATTTAAAAAAATGCAGCAGAAATTATACTTTAAAGTTAGGCCAAGGTTTCAGATGTTTCCTTTTCAGCAATGTAGTGGACTGGGCTGGTGATTGTGGATTTTATTTGAGTTACAAAAAGCAAAGATGCTGGTTTAAGGGATGGTTGTGATTGGTTGATTAGTAATTGTTCTAAGTGCATTGTAGTTCTAAGATAAAAGTTCTATTTATCTTAAATTTGGGTTCTATATAATGAATGTTTCATGTAACATGAATTTATGAACATAAAACAATTAAAAAGTAAGATTATTAGATAGCTGATGATTTTAATTTTTTTTCCTGAAAGTGGTTCCTTAGAAAATCATTTCAATTCTTTTATGTGTTACAGAGAGTCTTATTATTACAGAATACATTGGGTATTTGATTGTTGTCGTAGATGATTATAGTGTTCATGAAGTATTTGAGAAAGTGCTTATAAGCTGTCTTAGCATGAAACATCCACTGTTGTAAAACACTTTTTGCTGTGAAAAATTCACAGAATCTACTAAATTTTGGGAATCTGCTTTTATATAATGATGGTCTTTATATGAAGACTTAAACGAAGAACTCTTACATTGTCCTGTTATGATTCTTTAATATTTTGGGAATGTTATTTAATATGTGTAACTATGTTTTCCTTCCTTCCTAGGATAAGAAAGATAACATTCTGCCTCTCTTCCTGAATCTTATTCCATGGAGCTGACATATGTGAAATAAGTACTGATTTAAGTCAATCAAAAAGATGATACAATATGTACCGTAATTTCCGGCCGTTTACCTGCATGTTGATTTGTTGAATTCTCAAAAAAATTGATATCTTCGGTTCTACTGGGCCTAACAAGTCCCTTAAAACAGGAAAATTCTGTTCAGCTGAGGCTAGTGTTAACTGGAAATTTGTTACTGATTTGCTGGGTATCCTTGGTTTAATTTTGTCACCATCAAGGTTTCGTTTACACGCGTGCTGATGGGAGATGACAAAACACAGAATTGTACTCCATGCAGTACCCTATGGAGTACCTAAATGGAGTACCCCTAAAAATCATGTATTGGTCGAATAAAATACTTCATAAACATGGTAAATTGTATAGATGTACCTATTTTTAGTAAATACATTTTGAGCTTTCCAGCTCTCCAATTGTCACAGTTTGATGCAGCCCAATTTTTGGGGGTTCATGGGGCTCTCAGTCTTACAGGTTCCTCCATTTTGGTTTTAGCGCTGTGTAATGAGTCCTTTGACGGGAAGATAAAAAAAAAAGCTCCATATGATGAACAAAACCCACTGTTTCGAGTTGTGCACGAGGTAAAATATTAAAACTTACTGCGTTTTCCAAATCAACTGCCCAGTCGGATTATTTGCTGACCCATCAGTGTTTTTGTTTTTTGTTTCTTTGCATATCTCAATTTCATTATGCTACAAATAAAAGGGCAAAAAGAGGGTCAGTTTAAACACACGAATTACTTTTTTTAAGTCCTAGCTTTTATCCCTCATCACTTCACACAATTAAGAAACCTATGATTGAAGACATTGAACACCACACTTTTTACAGACTCCCTACTAAACAGGTATTTTAAAAGACGGAATACCCGCTGCTGAATGAAGGATGACTGTACTTTTGGCTTCTTGACGATCATAAATAGAGATGGTACTCTGCCTATCAAAGAAAACATTAATGGATTACATTTAAGCCTTCCATTTAAAGTGGCCAGCAGTTTAACGTTAAATTCAAGATGGCCCCGCGGTCAATTCGTGGACTGCGTCAAACTGTGACAATCACAGAGCTAGCAAGCTCAAAATATATTAAGATATGTACAGCTAAATGATTTACCATGTTTATAAAGTATTTTATTTGGCCAATACATAACTTTTAGGGTACTCCATTTAAGTAGTCCATCGGGTACTCCATGGAGTAGGGCTCCACGTTTTGTCATCTCCCCGTGCCAATAGTAATTTGTTAGTCAGGCAACTAATTGTGTGTGAAATAAACTCAAGTCGGCATCATGTTTTGTGCCACTTTGTGGCACTCTTAATACAGTAAAATTCATCTGAGAGGTGGAAATGCAGGTAGGCAAGAATTATTTTCAATTCAACTGCTAGTAGATTTCAAAATTGTCACATAACCCACACCTCCCTACAGTGGCTCGTGTTTACGGAAAAATCAACAGATTACCCATGGGTAAACGGCCGAAAATTATGGTAATGAGCGTAGAATATACTCACAACATACATTCCATCCTTTTTCCTTGTTGTTTGCATAGTAGTAGGCTTGTATTGAAATAGGTTTTTATGGATTTCAGTAAGGGTAATCAGGGGTTGACCCAAAAAATAGTCAGTTCACCCTCAAAGGAGTCATGTTTGTCCAACAATTCTCTTCCTGAGACTGAATCTGTGACGCAAAGACAAGGTTCCACAAAAAAAAGAAAAGGAAATGCAGTGAGTGTGAAAGTGATGTGGCCACTGGACTGTCTTTATGCGCTGAACAGAGAGTGGACTTGGTACAAGAGATGGGTGACTAAGATGGTGTTTGACACCTAAGGTACATTGAGAGACCATGATGATGCTCATTTACATAATGTAAGCAAGCAACTGCAAAAGATTAGAGGTTTTATCTTCTAAGTTTCATTTATGTTGTTAAAAAATCAGAATGCACGAGATCCAAACACAATGATTGAAAATAAGAGAAAACTAGTAATATGCAAGATACTAACTTAATAATCAAATACAGGAGGGAACTGAGAAATGCAATATAATAACCCAACAATCAAATTAACAAGGACTTAAGAATGTGTAACATGCAAACATTAATATTGCTTAGTACATGAAGAAACTATCAAACAATGATGGGTGCTTCATTAACTTTTTATGAAAATATCTATTTCTCTGACATTTTTCTTGTTTTTCACCATAAATTGTTTACAACGCTTGTTCAGAAACATGCCGTACAACTAAAAAACTGGTGTCACCCATGCAAGTCTGCATGAATGGCCAACTGATTGATTAGGATGGACCCTTGACCCTTATGGTAATTTAAAGGTAAACTCATTTAGGCAAATGCAATTTTCTATCATGATCTCAACTCTTTCCTCAGGAGTGAACTGCTCAAATGGCTTTGAGGAAAAGCAATTTTCCATATTAGCCAACAAAGCTGCCTAGCAGACAAATGCATATAACTGGAGCAATGAAGACATGTGATTGGGACAGTAGATCAATTGAGACAGAGGCTATTTTATAGTGCAGAATGTACTTTTTGCATGGTTGGGTGGGTTCCAAATGATCAGCTGTCATGTACATTTTTAATGTAAATGAAGATAAAGTTAGGTATGACAGAAAAACCCAGAAAAGCAATTTATTATCCAACTACTCTTTGTGAAGTACAAATAATGCCAAAGACCAGTACAAATATCACGCGGTATTTGTACTCTAGAGTACCGGTTAAACAGGTTTTCTCGCATCACGCAAGTGAAGAATTGGATTGTAGTTATAAAAAAAAAGGCAAACAATTAGAATCATATTTGTGACGACGAAGAGTCAGAATGGCTGGCAAATATAGATCCAAGTTTATTAGATGAATCGAACGAAGAAAAACAGCTAGACGACTTTTCCGCTTCGCATACTTCTGTCACACACTCCCTGTAAATAAATATCCACGAAATTTGCTCACACCGAAATAACAGTTTGGCATGTTAGGTAATAAATAACGTTTTAGGCATTTTGTTGTGTAGTATCACTGCATATTTTTACTCTCTATTTGTATTTTGACTCACCCTATGGGCTCATCAAAATATGGCACAACTCTTAAAAATACTCAGCGATACTACACAACAAAATGTCTAATGAGAGATATATATATTTTTTAACCCCCCCCCCCCATACCATTCTTATGGAACTCCTGTTAGAACATTGTTCTTTGCTCTTAACAAATACCTTGAAGATCCATTTAATTTACTTCACCATGTAAACCTATGAGCTTTCTGCCACAGAACAGATGATATATATATATGCAGTCACCAAAATGTGTTAGAAATGAATCCAAATGAACCGAACTATCTTTTGGGGAAATCCTTTGATGAGGAATGGCAACCAAAAAATTTTTTGTAACTCGGTAAAAAATTGCAAGTGTAAAATGTATTTCCTTTAAGTTGTTAGAGAGCTATCAAACAGCATACATGGTAATTAAGAAATATAAGATTGTTAAAAATTGCAACACAAAGAAAGTAAAATGTAAAATTTGCCAGATAAACAAGTCTACACTTAAGCAAAGCAGCCCATCCAGCTGCAGCTCCCCCTGGTTTAAGTGGCACAAACTGATGAGGAATATCGCTAATCTCACCAGATGGGAATCAAGTCCATGACAGGTTAACCCCCCCACCCCTCCCATGGCAGTAAAAACCATTAAAACGCATTTTAATTTATTTATCAAATTTACAGTTCATGACACTAAGACAAGATTAGTTCCAAGCTAAGCCATGGTTTATTGAAAGTACAGAAATATCACATCCTATAGCTGGTCATAAGTACATTTTCTAAAGTCATGGCAGCAAGTACTTCTAAAAAATTCTATAGCAACTAATTTACAGTTCAAGGCATTGAGAAAAGTTTAGTTAAAAGCTAATCCATAGTTTACTGATAGTACAGAAATATCACAGCCTATAGCTGGTCATAAGTACATTCTCTAAAGTCGTGGCAGCAAATATTACTAAAAAGGGCTGTAGCAACTAATTTACAGTTCATGACACTGAGGAAAGATTAGTTCAAAGCTAAACCATAGTTTATCGATAGTACAAAAAATCACAGCCTATAGCTGGTCATAAGTACATTCTCTAAAGTCATGGCAGCAAATACTTCAAAAAAGTGCTATAGGACCTAATTTACACTTCATGAGACTGAAAAAAAAAAACATTACTTTTTGGTGAAGCTGTAGTTCATAGACAGTATGAATAAAATCACAGCCTATAGCTGGTCATAAATACAGTCTAAAAAATTTGTTTTACCCACCATATCTCTTAAACAAGCACAGTGAACTATCTTTTAATTGTATTTTTAAAAAACAGACATTGGTAAGGAATATCTCTGGAAAGTTTCCAAAAAAATTGTTAGATACCTTTTATGTCTGAAGTAATCAACTTAACAACTAAATAATGAGACTTAGTAAACATGCCCTTACAGCAAGGCGACCAATTCTCTTGATATTAACCTGAAAAAAATAAAAGGGTAACATTAATTGAGCTTGGATGAACCCCTGAATGTGGTTTTACAAAAAGACGTCCCCTGCTAAGAACGGGAGCGAGGCATTTCCTTAATTAAGCACCTACGCTGAAATAACTGCCTTCCTCGCAATATGCGCCTACTCCCTACGTCATGATATCAAACAAGCAATCATCTACAGTTGGCAACACCCCCCTCCCTCTTCTTCCCCACTTTCTTAAACAGTAGGGATACAATGAAAACCTGTTTCTATTGCCAGTTTATTTACACCTTTCGAGCTTCAACTACAATGGAATCAGTACAGGAGATTAGTTTCTTATCTGTTCCAGTTATTTCTATCTCCATGTGCTTGCAGAGTTCTTTTGTGTGTTACCTGTTCTTTTAATTCTTTTCCTGTTACATGACTAAATTAAAAAGCACCCCCTCTTGATAAAGTGCCCACCTTCCAATAAATGCCCCTCCTTTCAGCTGAAGTTTGAAATAAGCACCCGGGTGCTTATTTGAGGAAATACAGTTAACAAATGGTAAACACCACAGCGTACAGTATTGAGTTATGGATGCACGCGGGAGGTTGCTAAGCACAAGAAGCGTAAGAGTCGCTTGAGGCGATAGCCAAGAGCGACTCTAGCTTCTTGAGTGCTTAGCAAACCTCCCGCGTGCATCCATAACTCAATAGTGTACACTGTGGTGTTTACTTTTTGTTTTATAACATAACATTGATACATTGTAGCTAAAGAGTTCCCTTTTATTTAACAAATCTTATGTGACCAGAAAAAACAATCACGCGCGGAAAAATAGTCTTTGCATTTGCTCACGTCAGCAGCGTACACCCGTGGGCAAATGGGGGACGCTAAATTGACCAATCAGAGCGCACACTTTACTTTGGTTATGTTATAATATTTGTTTTTTTCAGCAAGATATAATTGTTTATTTTGGTAACCCACAGAACTGCTTCTCATGCATGTATTTTGCTACAAAACTTTAGTCTGTCACAAATGCAGTTTCTTTGTCGATTCTTGTGATTTAAGGGCCCGACACTACGTGTTTAGCATCCAGTCTTAATGAGTTTAACCAAATTATTTGGACAAGGGAGAATCATGCATAGTTAAAAATATGCACATACTTTCAGCATCAATTTTCTCTAGTACTTGTAATATGTGTTATAAGCAACAGCCACCATCAAAATCTTCTCTGAATCAGTTTCCCATGAGAAACACCACCACTGGGAGAAGTTGCACAGCATTTACAAATCGTGAATTGTGTGTAAGTGTCTGTGCACACAATGTGCAAAAACCAGCATGAGATACAAAGGAAGATCAAGCATGGGAAATGTCCTTATTATGGATGGGTGCAACTGCACTTGTTGAGAGGAAGGTCTGCTTTTGAAAATGGCCGGGTTTATGTGAGCCACATCTAATGGAAATAGTTGCATAAAATCTGTTTCATTGCAAATGGTGAATAAAGAAAGGTATTGATTAAGAAAGCTACACACCATGCTCTTTCAGGTGGCCTTTTTCCTTTTCCTAGGTTGAGGATTTGGGTCAGGTGGTAGTTTGCTTTCCATGGCATCAAGAACCTCTAAAGCAAACTTTATTGCCACTTTAGCTTGGGCCAGGAATTCTCGTTTCTGGGCTTCCTGATTGTTAGGGTAGAGTTCTCCTCTGACAACCATTTCCTGTTCAAAAATAAAAAATTACAATTACTGGGAATCAGTGTTTCAGTGCAATAAATCCTAATGGATTGGCCTGGGTACCAAACTTTATATTCTTCAACTGAAGTGCAAATTCCACTGAGAACTTTAGAAGTGTTACCAGAAATGTGTAGAACTTGGTAAGATTAGTATTAATACTATGGCTTGGATGAATGCTATGCCCACCAGGCTCTGTTGAAGTACTGGTTGGGTCACTGTTGTGACCTTAGGCAAGGAAATATATTGCTTCCTTCATTTTGGCGACACGACTCCTCAAATAATTTAAAAAAATTACTTTTATCTTTGGAGGCTCAAAAACTAGATCTATCAGTTGAAATAAATAAGTAAAAGAATAAATAAAAATGGATAAATCACACAACAATTACAGGTTAAAATCTATCTAAAGTAAAAATGAAAATATGATTAAAGGAGAACAGTCACAAATTTACTATCTTAAATCAAAAATGCTACATGATGACACAATCTAACCCTAGTCTAGGAATGCCTGACTGATGACTTCATCTGGCCAACATAACTACAAAATCTTTCTTGAATGAAAAGTCAGGCAGCAGATAAAAAATAAATACTTTTGCTTGTCACTGCCACAGAAAAGGTCTTACAGTTGATTCTAGTAGAGAAAGACCACCTGATCAACATGATGTGGTTTGTTAAGTGTTCCTTATTTCAATATGGAAATACCCACATGCAACAATTTGATTGGTGCAAGCAATATACCACTCTATTTGTTGAAATAAATGTCACATGATTGCTGACATCAGTATTTTTGTCATATACTATTAGAAATATGAAGTAGGTCCAAATTGCATGCTTAATTTCTTCAATTAGAAAATTACGCTTAGTAAATTGGTCGTACTTGCATTTAACTCTGATAATTTTTTAAAATAGAATCTTAAGCTTGAGTGGTGTATTTTCCATCGAATGTGATTAACACACAAACATAAAAATTATTAAAAATGAAATGTATCACAATGTACATAAAGCAAAAAAAATTTGAAGTTTTTAAAGCTTGTTTCATTATTTTAATTCATCCCACTTCAGCCATAAACACTTGTCATAGAGTTTGAATTTATCTTTAAATATTTTTTATTGAATCATGACATATTAGGCTTTGCATATTCGTGAACTATTTGAATAAAATATAACTGAACCACAGGAAGGCAAACATAGTATTCTGAATTACATCCTTAAAGAATATCCTTTGCTACCCACCTCTGGGCAATATGTGTGGGATTTGCACTGGTAATATACCAAGCTTTACCGAAATGAATGAGAGGAAATCATCTTTTCTTGCTATTTTATCTGTTTTAGTATATGCGCATGAAAAACCAAAACTATACTAATTAAAAAAAAAGTAGAAAAGTAATGGTAAAATAATATATATATACCAAGTATAAAACTAGAGCAGTGACATACTATAGCACAAAAATATACATATATTTACCATTACTATTCTACTTTTTCCTAGTTAGTATAATTTCAGTTTTTCATGGGTTACTTCAAAATACACTTTTTTTCCTTTCTGTTTTTCCGTTATAATCTATTAACAATATTAATTAGCTCACAAATTTGTACAGCATAATCTTACGTCGTGATTCCATAGCATACATGTATTTATTACATCAAATCCCAACTATAACATGTGCATCTGCAATGGATTCTTTTAAAAATCATCTGGAAAATTAAATCATGATAAAACAAAGTTTAATTCGTTTACAAAACAGTACCTCAGCTTGCCTAAGTTCTTGCAAGATGTTGGGATTGAGTTGCTCCATGTCTGAAAATCAAAAGCAATTAGATACTGCATTTTCACATGATGTGTTTCTGTAGGTACTTTGGAACAAACATGGAGCAATAAAGAATCCAAGAGATTAACATCTTATGTTTCTTTCATATGGGAGCATCCCCAATCCAAAGCTTAACGTTGTTTTAAAACGTGGAGCACATGCAAGCGAAGTCAATTGAGTAAAAACGACAACGTAACAATCAAGTGCGACCTACACTCGACATGTCTTCGAACTTTTGAATTCTTTGGCTTGATTAAACAGGTTTCTTTCACTCATTTTATCACCTCGAGCGGCTGACAATTGAAAGAAAATGAACAGGCTTTATACAGCTATCATATTGGCCTGTTTCTATTTTTGTTATTTCTGTCGCCCGCTTGAATTTTCCCAATTTAGAAACGCTATACAGAGCTACGTATTTTAGTACATTTCAGCTTGCAATAGTTTCACAATTTACATCTAAACATAACAGATACTTTTGGCACGCGAGAATAAGTATGCACGTGGAAAAGTACTTTCCAGGAAGCAGCAATGTTTATCGCCTAAAAAATTACAATTTTTTATGAGCTGACGTTTGAAATCTCCGCAGTACCATCTCCCCACGTGTAGTGCAGCTAGGAAGTGCGTCAAAACGTTTTGGTCGTTAATTTTCCTTGCTGCAAACGTCCTCAGAGGATTTATTCATTTTTCGAATGGGACTTCAACATTAAGTGAAAAAGTTCGAAAGAAATCCTCACACGTAAAAGACAAAAACATAAATCATGTCTGCTTACCTGTTGCACTTGTACATGAACAAAGTGATTAAGCAAATTATGTTTCCGTGAACTTTGGTCACGTCAGGTGAGCGTTTCGTGTTTGGAGCAGCGTCTGGGGAGAAGTAATTATCTCATGGCGTTTACTCGTCGCGAACGTAACAATTAAGTGCGACCTACACTCGACATGTCTTCGAACTTTTGAATTATTTGGCTTGATTAAACAGGTTTCTTTCACTCATTTTATCACCTCGAGCGGCTGACAATTGAAAGAAAATGAACAGGCTTTATACAGCTATCATATTGGCCTGTTTCTATTTTTGTTATTTCTGTCGCCCGCTTGAATTTTCCCAATTTAGAAACGCTATACAGAGCTACGTATTTTAGTACATTTCAGCTTGCAATAGTTTCACAATTTACATCTAAACATAACAGATACTTTTGGCACGCGAGAATAAGTATGCACGTGGAAAAGTACTTTCCAGGAAGCAGCAATGTTTATCGCCTAAAAAATTACAATTTTTTATGAGCTGACGTTTGAAATCTCCGCAGTACCATCTCCCCACGTGTAGTGCAGCTAGGAAGTGTGTCAAAACGTTTTGGTCGTTAATTTTCCTTGCTGCAAACGTCCTCAGAGGATTTATTCATTTTTCGAATGGGACTTCAACATTAAGTGAAAAAGTTCGAAAGAAATCCTCACACGTAAAAGACAAAAACATAAATCATGTCTGCTTACCTGTTGCACTTGTACATGAACAAAGTGATTAAGCGAATTATGTTTCCGTGAACTTTGGTCACGTCAGGTGAGCGTTTCGTGTTTGGAGCAGGGTCTGGGGAGAAGTAATTATCTGATGGCGTTTACTCGTCGCGAACGTGAAGTCTTGATTAATCCTTTCTTTCAACACTATTATCGAAAAACTATGTCCATTAGTCAAGGTCAACCATGCAGTAATAGTCGGTAATTCATCAACCAATCTTGGTTCCCAATCCGGTGTAATCTAACATTGACAACAGAAGCCATAATCCACAAGCAAAGTGAGTATCTGTCAAACCCTGTTGATAAACGAAAGTGGAGGGTCATCATTGACACGTAGTATAACGAGCCAAATTAACTGTGATCGCAACAAACAGAGCAATGGGAATCACTATTAGAATATTTCCAGAACAGACACAATTTTACGGCCTAATGAACAAAAAGTTTGCTTAAGCGAACAAAGAGGACGGAAGAGAAAGAAACTGAATACATTTCCATTAATTATATTCAAAAAGAAAGCGTAAAACGATGGCTCTAGATTTACACGTGATTTATTTCTTTCGATGTTACGGTGAAGGTGGTCGTACATCCTGCTCCTTAGTTGAGCAGCAGTTGATAGTTTTTCTCCTCAATCAACGAGAGTAGTTAAGAGTATTATGCTACAAACAGATATAGACCAGTTTATTACACAAGACTAACCGTGTGAATAAAATGTCACAGGGATTAGGCTGAAGCAAACTGCGTCTTTTCTCTCCTCACGATCGCTAAATCTTTAGTTTTACCCTATTATCGCATCGATATTTGTTACCTTCAAATTTTAGAAACTGCGATTAATTTAAACGTAACATCAAATGCTCTCACATTTTAGAACAATGGATGCCGCGGCCACGTGCTTCTGAATTCCAAATTTCTTGATTACGTTTTCCTTCTCCTTTACCCCTCTTTTCCTACCTTCTAAGGCTCTTTGATGACTAGTTTCACAGACAAGAAATTACTGACAGCTTTCCCAACATAGTTTGGTTATCTGCCTAGTGCACACAGCTTTCGATGTACCAACGTGAAAAGAGTTAGCTAGTTTTAAGTTCCAACTACTTCGGTTGGCAAGGGGTTCAAAAATGACCGTTGCAACTCAGTACCAAAGGATTGGAGATTTAGAATTTCTTTCGGAGTACTTATTAAGAAGTGAAGCTTCTACTGAAGTCGAAACTTACCTGAAAACATTCAACAAATCCTAACAGATGAAGAACAATTTGTTGAGCAAAGAATATATGTTACTTCATGATGACCTCATCTCCTGCCCATTTGTGGAGTGTAACTCGAGAGACCAGCGTGGGATTAACTACGGTCACATGATTGTCGACGATGTCACTCAATTGCACTAAAAGGCATGGCTGTGATACCATAATATTATCAAGTCTGTCGCTGAATCATTATCAAGTCTCATCATTTCTCTTGGAGAAACAAGACATTATCATAAGTATATCGATCGTTGCTGATGAATGTCAATCTTGCTAGATGTAGACGTAGACAAGGGAAGCCCTCAAAGACAGTGTCTGGGGCAAACAACTGTGATTAGAGATTGAAACCAGGCTAGAATTGTGGTCAGTTTATGCAGGCCCCGTTTATGCACTGTACAAGATAAAGGCATGAGACCGAGATGCAAGCAATATCAATCAACCAAACTGAGCAAGACTTCTAGAATGTTACTCAATATTCTAGTTGGTTAAACTATAGCCTGCGTGGGTGGCTGTTTTGCTTTTGTGTGCCCTGAGGCGATGAACGGCGAAGCCGAGAGAGGCTTGGGCTGGAAAATAGTTTTCCACACGAGCTTCACTGCGCGTTAGGCAGCGCACACAAAATCGTAAAGCTTTCATAAGACCACCAGCTACCCAACTTATATCGTGACTTACACACTCGTGCTTTCCCTCACCTGAAGTAGAAAAAGTACCACAAGCGTGAGAGAAATAATTTGATATATTCATACTATTACTGAACATTCATTGCTCTGGTTGCTTTACTCGACACTTGTGAGTCAGGAAGTCAGGTTGTGGATCTTTTATCGAAACATTCTCTGCAATTTTTGTAAGGGAAGGTCGAAGAAAAACAGAATGTTAGATTGCCAGTTTCAAGCACCGATTGCGATGATGCAACACGCGATATTCTATCAAGTGAAAGTGTTAAAAGCATAAGCCTTGTGGAGAATTGTTACTCACCTGCAAAACGTCACTGAAAAAATCATTATACCTGTCGTTTGAGATCGCAAGATTTTGGACACCAAGTTTATTAAGGTTGCTTAGGTCTGCCTAGCAACCAGGTTTTTCCGTTTTGCCAGAATTAGGACTCGTGGGGCGTATATTTTGATGAAATTTCAAATGAACTAGTGCAGCATAGAAATACTCGATTGCATTTTTCAAAAGAAAAGCAAGACGTTCAATTCAATGTAGAGCTAATTGCCGAACCACACACACTCAGTCAGACTCCTTAACCTCCCACCCTCTGCCCTCGATACAAAGAGTTCTTTACACCGACATTTTGTAGTAATTCGTCAAGGACGGTTTTTAGTTGATCAAGCGGCAAATACGCCTTACAATTAAAGGTAGCCATCGAAGTGACGAGGAATGGAGGCCAAGGAGCCTCTTTCCGGGTGGAATTTTTTGATTTAATGCACATTGGACAGGAAATAACCCCATCAAATGAATACGGGGCCAAAAAGTTCCTGTTGAAAAAATCCTAAATTCTGTTTTGTGAACTAACTGTAATCTTTATGACTTTTATATTCTTTTATTCCACATTTTTGTTGAGCGGTGTGGTGTTTTTCTTTAGCAGTTTCAATACTATTAGGTTCTCTTTTTTCAATTCTTGTTATCTTTTATTTTTCTGCGGGTCAAGTCTTTGCGTGCGGAACAGCAACAGCATGAAAGTTAGTATAGGGTATTTCTAGTCATTCACCCATGAGTAGTTGAGCTAAACCAATGATATTTATCGATATGGAAGTTTCTTTCAGTTCGAATTTCTCCTTTCGCGATTAAATACTTGCTTTTCTTCCCTTTTTATGCAGAGGTGGTTGGTCCAAAAAAATAATATTTTAAACCTACCCCAAACAAAAACTCACACAACAGATTACAAAATAGAAAAGATATTAATGAAACAATCGATTACAGGAAAAAACTGAGAATACGCGAGATACTAATGTAACGATAGAATACAGGAAAAAACTGAGAATGTGCGAGATACTAACGTAACAATTGATTATAAAAAAGAATGGGCGAGATACTAACGTAAGAATCGATTACAGGAGAAAACGGAGAATGCGCGAAATATTAATGTATCAATCGATTACAAGAGAAAAACTGAGATTGTAAAAGGTACGTAACTATCGATTACAGGGATAAAACTATAATACGCGAGATATTAACGTAACAATCGATTCCAGGTAAAAACTGAGAATGCGCGAAATACTAACATAACAATGGATTACAGGAGAAAACTGAGAATGCGCGAGATACTAAAGCAACAATGGACTACAGGAGAAAACCGAGAGTGCGCTAGATACTAACGTAACAATGGATTACAAAAGAAAACTGAGAATGCGCGAGATACTAACGTGGCAATGGATTAAAGAAGAAAACTGAGAATGCGCGAGAATACTAACGTAACAATGGATTACAGGAGAAAACCGAGAGTGCGCGAGATATTAACGTGACAATCGATTACAGAAGAAAACTGAGAATGCGCGTGCTACTAACGTAACAATCGATTACAGAAGAAAACTGAGAGTGCGCGAGATACTAACGTAACATA